CTTCCTGTCCGTTGAGTTCTGTGTCAGTTCCAGAGGCCACCAAAAGAAATAACGACCAACTTCATGAAATTCAAAGAATTGAGACATTTTCCTATGGTCCAAAGTCTTTCCAACTGAGAAACACACATCAAGATCCAGCCTGCCGGCCCTGTGGTTAAATATTCCTGAAATAATTAAAGCCCAGGGCAACACGGCCCCCACTCCACAAGTACTCCCAGCACAGTGAGACTTGCTTCTCTGGAGGGGCTTGAAATGTCCAGTGTGTACCCTGTCCCTCTCTGTCACAGCTAACAGGAATGTGTTCTGCGTCTTCTTCCTGCTCAAAGGACCGTCCACCAACCTGCGCAGGCAGCACTTTCGGCCAGGGGAGGATGTGAGAACTTCCCACCATCTCCCACTTACGCACTGCATTCCTCAGGAGCCTGCCTCACAAATTACAAGAGCGCCACGGCAGACACACCGCATTCCAGCGGGTGGCCGTGTCTTCCTGTCAGCTTGAAAGATCGTTGCCAGGGAAATATCTATATCTCGGCAGAGAGAGCTTCAGCCTGTGTAGTCCAGCTGTGCTCAGATGGAAATCCAAAAACCCAGATGTTGGTCCAAACACCTTGTCTTGGGGAGCCGGCTCTGCAAGTCCCCAGCGTGGGAATGAACTGGGTGGGCCACCTGCCCTGCCTGCCCACGTCTCTGCCTGCTGGAATCTTGGACCCTGAGAACCAGGGGGATGTGGTGGGGAATAGGCGAGTCTTGTGCAGAAAGCCAAGATGCCACCCAAATCCACTCTGCAGTCAAGGTAGGCGATACTCTGCTCTGCACCGCACCAGTGCACGAGGGGATGGAGGATGGAGTCTACACAACCCAAATGTAAAAAGATATTGCCCAAGTATTTCGTGCTTTGTCTGTTACAACGCTATGCCCAGCCCAGCACGGTGGCTCACACCTGTAATCTCAGCACTATGGGAGGCCGAGGTGGGCGGATCACCTTAGGTCAGGAGTTTGAGAAAAGCCTGGCCAACATGGTGAAACCACCTCTCTACTAAAAATGCAAAAATTAGCCAGGTGTGGTGGCAGGCACCTGTAATCCCAGCTACTTTGGAGGCTGAGGCAGGAGAATCATTTGAGCCCGGTAGGTGGAGGTTGCAGTGAGCGGAGATCATGCCACTGCAGTCCAGCCTGGGCAACAAGTGAGACTCTGTCTTAAAATTTAAAAAAAAATCAAAAATAAATGCTATGCCCAGCATTTTCCATGTACTGTCTTATTATCTCAGTAAATCCCACATAACCTTCCTATGAAAGTATATCTCATTGATCTCCATTTTATAGATGAGAAAACTGAGACCCCTGGAGTAGTATTAATTTCCCAAGACCGCATTGCTCCTAAAGGGTACAGCAGGGACCCAAGCTCGACACTCTCACCCTCAAACGTTTCCACAAGTGTGGACCAATGCCTCTCAACGGGGGTGGTTTTGCTCATGTACCACTCCCTTGCCCCATGGCATTTGAAACTGTCTGGAGGCATTTGGGGTAGACGTAACTGGGAGGGGAGAATGACACCTAGAGGATGGAGACCAGAGATGCTGCTAACCATCCTACAATGCACAGGACAACCCCACCACCGCCACGAATGGTCTGACCCCAAATGTTGTGACTGTGCCAAAGCTGAGAAACCCAGGTTCCTCCCCAGCAAGAAGGGAAAACACCTGCAACATGGACGAACCTCTACAGGAGCCTCAGGCTGACAATAACCTTCCCGATCTGTTTTCAATCCTGGATGCTTTTACCTGGTGCGTCCATCAGGGATTTCAGGGACTCCCGTGAGTTATTACCCTTGAATGCTCGGTTCTGCCTGACAACCCAGAAATCTCTGCTGAGGTGCCTGGTCTTGGGGAAGGTGGATTGAATGCTTGAGGTTGATAACCAAATACCTAAGAGAGACTTTTCTGTCCTTCCAGGAAGAGCTGTGGGTCAGACACATCCTGGGATTATTTACAGGGAGTCAATAAAGGCTTGGAGAGGGCCAGGGTTTCTATGCCTTCTCACTGGGGTGGGTGTTTGTGGATACACAAGAAGCCTGTGAAACTTCTGATACTGGCAGGGAATCAACGCCCCTCACCCTCCACCATAGACAGATGCCCTGCAGCAGGCCTCGGTGCTCAGGGGCTCCTGGGGTCTCGATTTACCTGCTAAAACACCCTCTAGCCACCACCGAATAAAGCAACCCCTTGCCACCCAACCGCAAGAGCACAGCCTGGGAGCCACTCCAAGGGACACCCAGTCACATTAAAACCTCAGCCATCCAGAGCGCCAGGCCTGGTGATGAGAAAGAACATTTTATCCTTAAAAGCATCTGAATGCCCATGCTGCTTCTCGCAAAGTCCAAAATAATCTGCTATGAAAGAACGAGGATGGTTTTGACATTTTTACCAAGCTAATGGTCTACGCAGACAAAATCTCATAAAAGGGCACTCTGTTCTTCTTGATCCACTCAGACATGGCCTAGGAGTGAAGAAACGGGCTCTCCTCCTCAAAGAAATCACTGCTGATCCTCACACCAGCCTGACACTGCCTCATGGGTTCTTCAAACAGAGTATTCCCATAGAAACTAAAAAGGAAAAGGAATGTGTCTGGCGAGCATTATGGGCAGCGGGCCAAATTTTAAGTTTGAAACTCAAGATTCCCCCTTTTCGAGGGGCCGCCGGACTGAGCAGATACAGGCACCCTGAAAAGAGGGTACCATATTCAGACTCAGGAAACAAGGACGGTGTCTGTTCAGTTCCTCCATCATCCTTCAGATCACGGGATTCCCATTTCCCTTTGTAGACCAAAAAATTCAGTGGGGTTTCTGCCTTTTAAATATTTCCTTATCAATATATAATCCTTTTAGCCTCCAGAAAGCATTTTAACATGGAGATTCTGGCTTAAGACTCTTGTGGGTCTGTCTCTCTCTCTCTTTTCCTTGAGACAGGGTCTCACTTTGTCACCCAGGCTGGAGTGCAGTGGCACGATCACAGCTCACTGCAGCCTGACCTTCCAGGCTCTAGCAATCCTCCCACCTCAGCCTCCCCAGTAGTTGGGACTACAGACACACACCACCATACCTGGCTTTGTTTGGTTTTTTTTGTTTTTTTGTTTTTTTTGTTTTTTTGCTAGAGATGACGCTTCACCACTTTCTAGTTGCCCAGGCTGGTCTCAAACTCCTGGGCTCAAGCGATCCTCCCCACTCGGCCTCTCAAAGTGCTAGGATTACTGGCTTGAGCCACCACGCCCAGCCAAGAACCTTGTCTCTTGTGATGCACCCCAGAACAAAACATCACTGCAAAAACACACCAAGGCATGACTTTCAGTCCTAAGTCCCATTTATCCACCAGACGCCATGTGCCAGGCACAATGTTAAGTGCTTTCTATAGACGAGCTTCCTTTAATTTCAGCAGTAACAGCCCCATGGAATGGGGCCTGTTGACAGATTCATTTGCCACTGAAGACAGTAAGGCTCAGAGAGGGTACGTGACTTGTGCCATGTCAGCCAGCTAAGGAGGGGCAAAACCAGGATGCAAACCCCAGCCGCCTGGCTCCAGACTCATGTTCCCAAGGTTCCACTACACTCGGTCACTTCACTGCATTCTGATATCCTGGTCTTTGGCAGAGTCCACGTAAAAGAGGGAGGTAGAGGGAGTGACAAGGACTCCACGCAATAAAGTTTCCCAGTGTTACACTACCACTGTAACTGTGTCCCGGACCAGGACCTCTCCCTTCTCATCCTTTCCGTGATGGGTCCTGGAAAACCTTCCAGAGAACTGTCCTTCTCCGGGGATCTCAAATAAAATTCACCTGAGTTCAGTGTCCAGGTGACCCAAGCTCTGAATGCAGTAACGTGCACGGGGAGATAAGGATGTCACCATGACCAAGCCTCCCAGACAGCATCCGGCAGCATCTCCAAGCCTGGGCAGGGGGACTCTGATGCAGCCGACGGCGAGGAGGGCTGCCCGTGCTGCCTAAATGGGTTCAGAATTGAAGGCCGCCCTCTCTCCCATGTGGGGCTCATTAACCACGAATCAAATTATTAAGACAAGCCCAGCTGAGCAAATGGTCAAACATAAAAACATTTGCAAGGAACAAAGAGGTCAACCCCATTATCCATCAAAAACCATCAAGGTGGCAGCCCTCACTGAGGGGTACAGCTCTCCAGGGGGCCCTCGTCTCCCCTCCAAACCCATGGGCCTCCCCAGCGGAAGGCTAGCAAAGCCACACAGAAAGAGTTGGGGGTAGGAAAGCAGAAAGTGAACCCCAGGAGGCCAGGCTGGCCACGGAGCCCCATCCTACACACACAGGCCGGGTGACTCAGGGGCCCACGTGTGCGGGACACGGGGCGCTCACGGGGACGGCGCCCCGGGGGATGCGAGGAACTTTGCCTCTCTGTCCCTCTCTGTGGGAATGGAAAGAGGAGAGCGATTTCTGGGCTGGAAGCCATCTGCCTCCTCTCAACTCTCACTGCCCAACCAGAATGGGAAGAAAAACAGGAAGATGCGGGGCAGGTGAGGGGCTGGGTGAGCGTTGCCAGCCCGCAGCCCAGCAGAGCGGGGCTTGGCCAAGCCTGGCGCCAGGGACTTCCCCCCTACCCCCTCCACAAGCCCCTCGCCAGGTGAGAGGCACCGACAGAGTCCCAGACGGATGCCCCAGACAGGATGCCCAGCGCAACCCCCGCCCCTTCCCCTGCTGGGGGCCCCCGAGACGCGGGGCTCCCCCTCCCCTTTTGGCCAGCCGCAGAGTCCAGCGGGTCTCACGGCCAGGGACGTCGTGGGAGAATCAGGAAGTCGAAGCCACACACCGGAGAAGGGGCAGCTGGCGTCTCGGAGGCCGTCACAAGCTGTCACTCCGCGCCCGCGGGAGTTGCCGCTCAGTTACCAACTTCAACCCGGGGCCGGCCACGGAGCCTCCCGCCGCCCCCACCCTGCGTCCCCGCCACCCCCGCGCCCCCGGACCCCCGCGCCCCCGTCACTTACTCCTCTGCCGTCGCCACCTGTCTGGGTGCCGGTCTCCTCCCTGCCTGGCCGCGGCGCGTCCTCCCCGTCCTCGGGCTGTGCGCTTCCCCCCTCCAGCCCCAGCCGCAGCCTCTTCTCCTCGGGAGGGACATCGTCCTCCTCGCTCCTGGGCCGGCCATCCCTGCCTCGGGGCTTGCCCGTGGCTTCGGAGCTGCCGGAAGGGCTGGCCATGGCTCCGGGGGCTCTACCTGCACTTGGGGAAGAGGAAGGACCCGGCGCGAGCGGCCTCTCGGCGGAGCTGGGGCGTCTGAGCGCGGGCTCGGTGCGTCCGCGCGGCGCGGAGCTGGGCATCGGGGCCGGCGCGGGCTCCTTCGCGGGCCGCTCCTGGCTCTCTGGCGCCCTCTGCTGGCCTCTCGCGAGCACCGCGGACACGCCGGGCCCGAGCCTGCGCCGCGCTCACCTGCCCCGGCCCAGGCTGTCGCTGTCCCCTGCCGGTGGTCAGGCCCTGCACCTCCTCCCCGCCCCAGCCAGGTTGCATCCCCATGGTCTCCCTGCCTCAAGGAGGAGGGAAGAGAAGGGACGCCCCGAGAGGGTAGACATCGGCCACAGCCACCTTGTCTGCTCTTACCCTGTGTCTTGCATGATTTGGAGGTGGTGGGAAAACCGAGGCTGCTCAAAACTCGTGGAGAATTCCGCCTGCAGGATGACATGAATGCATCTTCGATTGCCTGCCAATAGATATTTTCTGAGCGTCACTGTGGACCAGGCGCGGTGATGGGGGAGGGGATATTGTGGTGAACATGACAGGCATTGCCTTCACCCAGTGGGGCTCAGCGCTGGGTGAGAAGGCATTGAGAATGGACACTGTCACTTGGGCAAAAGGAGGCCAAGGAGAAGTGCTGGGTGCGTGGGAACTGAAAAAGACAGGAGGCTCAGCAGGTCTTAGAGCTGGGAGAGGAACAGTAGCGGCGGCTGTTCCAAAGGAAGCAACAGCTGAGAGATGTCTCAGAGTTGTTCTCAGCCCAGTGGAGGGTGTTCATGCAGAGGGAATAGCGTGTGCAAAAGCCCAGAGACTGGGAAAGAAGCAGAGAGGACTGTGGGGCTGGAGCGTGGTGGGCAAGGGGAGAGAGGTGTGGTGGGCAGACAGATTGGCTGGGACCCGACCATGCAGGGACAGAGGAGATAGGGGATCCTTGCGGGCCCCCAGCCAGGGCTCAGGCACAGAGACAATGCAGGTGGGCAAAGGGAGGAGACGTGGAGAAATATTTTGGAGGCAAGCACCGATGAATGAGCCCAGGATGCACCCTTAGTGTCAGTGTGGAGCTCCTTCCTTGGCTGTGTGATGAGCTGAACCGGGGGTATTTTCTGGACATTGAGGTGCTACACCCACAGTCCAGGACAGGCTAAGTGGGCACCAGCAGCTCCTGGCCTACCTCAAAAGCAGGAGAGACAAGGGAGGCTGGGGAGGCTGGGGAGGCCAGGGAGGCCAAGGAGGTAGTGGAGGAAGGAGAGACTGGGGAGGCTGTGTCCTTTCCATGATTCTGCCCAGGATCCTAGGCCCCTGTACTCCCTGAGCCCTCCCACCCCAAACGCTGGAACCATGTTGCACAATTGTCTCCCCACTAAACTCCCGATGGCTGCCCCTACCCTGCTGTGCTCCCTATTTCCTCCCTAACAGCTCTCACAGTGGGCAGCACATAGTAGGTGCTCAGGAAACACTGGTGGGAGAACACATGGATGTGCTCAGCACCTTCCTCTCTCCTCCAGCTCTCCCCTGTCACAAAATAATTCTGATAATGACACACGGGCTTTGAGACCCTCTTCTATTACTTCTCATATGCCAATCCATCTATACCTCACAGCAGCCCTGGGGGTGGGTGCTATTAGGCTGCCCATTTTACAGAGGAGGAGACTGAGGCATACAGAGAGTAAGTGACATAGGCACACTACAGGGGCTGGGGCCAAGTGACCGCAGCACTCAAACCCCAAAGGCAAGGTGGACGCAATTACCATAAAGGACAGCAGACTCAAAGCTGCAACCAGAATAGCCTGACTCGCAGACCTACAGTACCCCCTGATCGTGGCGTTCCTAGAAGTGAAATAGATAAGAAGCCTGCCACACTGGTACTCGATCTGTGTTTGCAGAAGCGTTCTAGGTCAGGTGAGCAGAAGTCTAACCTGAATCATAAAAACAGAGCCACAGTCCCCAGTCAATTCCCAGACATAAGCCAGTTCACAGACCCGGAGTCCCTTGTCTGAATGGGAAGCCAGGTCCCCTCCAGAAAGGACTCTGCTCCACTGCCAAAAATTTATACTTTCTCCCAGCCTGCCCTCAAAGAAATATGCAGCCTTTTACCAGGATAACTGAACAGGGGAATAGGAACTAATGAGACCTGTGCAGGATCACTGGACACAAGCTCTGAACTGGCACTAGGGCGAGACGAGGGTCTACCAGTCAGAATAGGCATTTTGGAGGTCAGGTGAATGTTAGTACAAGTTCATGTCACGGTAGATCCACTGGGTCTCCAAACCCATCCTCTGGTTATATACAAAGTGGCAATGCTGACATTGAAATTCAGGGCATCCAACATAGCGGCTGTTCTCTTACTCATGAAACATTCTGACATCTCTGGAAACAAAACCACAATTCAGGGTTCTAGTCCCCACCCACGCAGCCTGACCCAATTCCAGTGCCCAAGGTCACAGTGTCAACCCCATCTTTTGCAGCATTTAAACTAGGCAGGAAAATTAGGGACAATTAAAAGGACATGGGCCACCAGCTAGTCATAGACTCTCTCTGGTATGTATCATAAATATTTGCCTTCCTGAGGTTCAATGTGGACAGACTTTGTCCCAGTCTGCAGCATACCTTGACATGATCGGCTTATCTATCCGTCTCTTCTTTTTTTTTTTCCCAGACAGGATCTCACTCCCTTGCCCAGGCTGGAGCGCAGTGGCACAATCATGGTTCATTGCAGCCTCAACCTCCTGGACTCCATCAATCATCAATACTCAACCTCCTGAGTAGCTGGGACTACAGGCATGCACCACCAAGCCCAGCTAATTTTTGTGGGTTTTGTAGAGGTAGGGTTTCTCTACGTTGTCCAGGCTGGTCTTGAACTCCTTGGCTCAAGCGATCTGCTCATGTTGGCCTCTGAAAGTGCTGGGATTACAGGTGTGAGCCACTGCCCCCAGCCTCCTCTTCCTCTTGATGGTGAATTCTGTAAGGGCAAAGGCTCATTCATTTTTGTTGTTTAATGAATAGGCTTTATTTTTTAGAATAGCTTAAGCTTTACAGAAAAATGAGTAGAAAGTATAGTGCTCCCATATATGCCCTCAAATCCTCCCATCCCGTTTCCCCTGTTGTTAACATGTGGCTTTAATGTACTGCATTTGTTGCAGTTGATGGGTCAATATTGATATATTATTGTGAAGTCTGTAGTTTAGGTTTCTCTCCTGGTGTGTTGCACATTCTTTGGATGGATGTGACCATCCACCATTGTATCCACCATTACAGTGTCACACAGAATAGTCACACTGCCCTAAAAATCCCCTGTGCTAAGCTGGTTCATTCTTGAATCTCCATTGCTTTTGCATGGTGCCAAGCCCTCAGCTGGGGCATGTGGCTGTTGAAGGGATGGATATTGCAAAAACTGCTGCCAAATGTTTCCATCCTGGACGAGTAAAGGAAAGTGGCCCTGATGTTTTAAAAGGCCTGACATCAAAAGAAAGGGTGTGAGTTTACCAAGCCACTGGGATTAGCTCCCCAAGGGACCATTTCCTCAACTTGATCCGATGATCAAGGCAGCAGAAGATCCAGAACAAAGGGGATCCCTTTTACTCTGACCTAGGACAAATGTCTGTAAATTCTTCGAGAGCTCAGAAAATGTCAACATCTGGGCCAACAGACAAAAGTGGAAATGTCAGCCAGGCACGGTGGCTCACGCCTATAATCTCAACCCTTTGGGAGGCCAAGGCGGGCAGATCATGAGGTCAAGATATCGAGACCATCCTGGCTAACACGGTGAAACCCCGTCTCTACGAAAAATACAAAAAATTAGCCAGGCGTGGTGGTGGGTGCCTGTACTCCCAGCTACTGGGGAGGCGAAGGCAGAAGAATGGCATGAACCTGGGAGGCGGAGCTTGCAGTGAGCCAAGATCACGCCACCACACTTCAGCCTGGGCGACAGAGTGACACTCAGTCTCAAAAAAAAAAAAAAAAAAAAAGTGGAAATGTCTGAGAAAAAAGTAGTTCTTTTTCTATCAGTCTAAGAGTAGAATTCTCACCACCTCAGGTGCAGATGTAATAAATAAGTAATAAAGCAGCAAGCAGAAGTGATGGAAACCATGAAAAATATTGTGGATATCTGAAGGAAGACACGGCTTCTGCATCAGTGGGGTCTTTAGGCTCCCGCCGTAACCCCCACACCCACAGAGAAGATGCGTCTGACCCCAGTGAGTACCTGGGTCCCGCCACAAGTAGACCCCAAGATGATGATTCCAGTGCAAGAGGTTTACTTGGGGGTGATGCCGGGAAACCCTGGTGATAGCCTGGGGATATGGGATGAATATGGAGAAGGGAAGACAGCTGTAAAAGGTTAACCTCTCGGTGACTCCTGTGGGCATCCCAGGACTTAATCCAACCGAGAGAGCATGTAGAAGGTGCACCTCAGACATCCCGCCTAGGTCTGCAGGACCTGGGCCATTCCTACCCGAAAACTCACCAGGCACAATTCAGAGATACTCCTTAGAGGGTCTTAATTTCCAAGTACTTTCAACAAAGTGGCATTGGCGGCCACAGAGAGCTTCAGGCAAAAGTGGTCGGTGTGCACAGGAATAGTAAGGCCACTGAGAACATCTGCTATGGACCCAAACCCAGACATAACCAGGCTGGCTCCAGCCAGACACGGAGCAGGGTGGCATCAGAAGGATGGCAGAGCAGTGACAGGGACACTCCTTGGGCAGGTCTCGAGGACGTCTGGATTCTCCCCTTCCACCATGGAGCTAGAAGGCAGGTAGCTCAGCCAGGGCACTGCAGGTCGAAGTCCAATTGAGTCTAGGCTTCAGCCTTTGTAACTGCATTAGCTCAGGCAGGGACTGGACCTCTGGAAACCTCAGTTTCTTCATCTGTGAAATGGGCATCACGACAGTACCTGGTGGGATTGTTATGAGAATTTAACAAAATTATGCATGTAAAGCTCTAATCCTGACACCTAATAAAGGTTCAAAAATTGTTTGTTTTTAAATATCATTAGCCCATGTACTTTTTGTTTTGTTTTGTTTTGTTTTGTTTGAGACAGAGTCTCACCCTGTCACCCAGGCTGGAGTGCAATGGTGCAATCTCGGCTCAC